CCGGTCCCTCCGCTTGGCTGCAGAACGGATCAGCACCGCGGGGACGATCGCGGGCCGCAGGGACGGACAGGGAGCGCCGCAAACGAGCGAGCCGATCCTCAGCGGGCGGGGCTGCAGCGCYCCGATCTTCCTCTCGCTCCTCTCGGTCAACAGCGGCGCCCGCAGCCTCCTCCCGGCACTGCAGGCACCGAGCGCTGCCCGCCCGGCCTCGCACACGGGCAGCTCGCAGGGACGAGACAGTCATAACGCAGATGTCGCTTTTCGTCCAGCGCTTATCTCCTTCCTCTGCTTTTCTCCAGCCGATCTCTGCTTTGATCCTCCAGCGGATGACGATCGGGAGGAAAGCAGAGGCATTCCGTGCTCGTGGAGCTTCTGCTGCACGGGAACCTAATCATTTACTAATGTCAATAAATGTAAATTGAAACATATTTTTCTTATTTAACCAGCTACACTACTGTTAGTCTTATCCTTTTAGCTCAAAAGGATCTTCAACCACAAGCTCTCAGAGAGAAAAAATGAGGATACCGCCTCCCGAAAAACCACATCTATCAGGTTCATTAACACGAGGGCAATGAGGGCAATTACATATTTCTTGACATAATGGAGCTAATTGTTACAGGATTCGATTATAGGTACAAATAAAGTCGAAGCTAAAACTCTCAAAGGGAACGTTCAGGTTTCCAAATATTTGATATTTCTTCCTAAGATAAAACTAGCGTTTTCTTAGTTTATAAACATTTACATTTAATCAAGCCATTCTAGGGTTCCTTTTCTCTGAAATCAACGTGCAAAGGGTTTAAGCTCATTAGAAGTCTATTCATGCAATTCTTTCTTATTAACGTTGGTGCGATGTGTTGTAAAGAAAGGAACCATAGAACAAAATTACAGCTGCGCTCTCGAAACTGGTGACTACTAATAAATGTGCAAATGGCTTGATTCAAGTACCTAAATCGTCGTTTGACCGATCTCTTTGAGATTTCATCCGTTCGTATCTCAGATGTCTCTCCTAGTAAACATACAGAATTTAAAAAGCTTGCTGTTCTCGATGCACCCCACCTTAACTAAACCTCCCGAAGTCTTTGCTTGCAAAGAGCATGTAAAAACCAAAAATCTCTGAAACCGGAATTATTCAACGCTATCACCAGTGTATGAAAGAAATATCATGTAGAGTAAAACAGAGGGTACCGCCAGACACGGTACGAAAAAGAAGCCAACTACGCCCACGACTGCATTACCCCCACAAAAGGGGTGATTTTCTCTTTTATCAATCAGATGGAGAACGGAACTTCTCGCAAAGGTTTACTTTCTGAATCCAGTAGGGACAAAAGGAACGGGTTTGTTTAAAAATTCCACCACCAATTGTCAGTGCTTTTGTTTATCTCTACTCTGTCATGCATAATCAGCCATTCTCCTTCCACAGAATACAGATATTCTTTCAACATTGCTAATACATTCTACCTTATACAGCACAAGTGTTGAAGATAAAAGCGCTCTCATGAAGAAAAACATGTGACTAATCAAGAAGAAAGTGCTTCCTGCTCATCACGAACAGGGGGTAGCCAATTCCTAAATTCAGTCCTTCACGCAGATACAAACGTGCAGCTCACGAAAGCACGACGCTGAGAAATATGGACAAACACGACTACTAACTCAAGGGAGAGAGATAGCCAAAGAATCCCAGCTGAAGCGGAAACTGGTATCAAGAAGAAACAAACATTTCCGCCTCAAAACATACACAAATAAGAGCTCCCCAGAGATACCACCCAGAAAAAATAGAGGAAACAAAACAACGCTCAAGAAAGCCTCAGGAACAGAAGAAGGATGCGGTTTCACAAACCTGCGGTGCATCGGGGTCGGCGTCTGGCTCACCCACAACGATGCTGTTACTCGAGCTCTGCTTCTCGCAGCAATCCCCGCCCAGAAGCTCCTCCGCCGACAGGATGGGCACCGGCGGCGGCGGCCAAGCGGCCTCGGGCACGGCGCGGGCCGGCGCCGCCACGCACAGGTTGTAGGAGTAGGGCAAGGTGCCCTCGCAGAAGTCGGCCGGGAAGGCGGCGCCGGCCACCGAGAAGCGCTGCGCGCCCAGGCAGCGCAGCACGGCGGGCGGCCCGGCCCGGCGCAGCCGCG